CATCCACTCATCCATGCATCCATGCATCCACCCACTCATCCATGCATCCATGCATCCATGCATCCATGCATCCATCCACTCATCCATGCATCCATCCATGCGTGCACCCATGAACCCATGCACCTATTCATTCACGCACTCATCCAGTCATCCAGCTAACACTGAGGACTGATCTCTGTCCTTCCCCACCTTTATTCTACTTGCTCTGCACAGACACTACTGGGCAGTACCATCCACTCCTTTCTAAAGACGTGGTGGAAGGGCAGAGGGTGCCATATCCCTTGCCCAGGTTCACTTTCCTCACGGAGGGCAGACATGCAGATTCCCAGCTTCACATTTTTGCTCTGTACATACCACAATTGGGTATTTTCTAAAATAAAAATTGCTGTTGTCTGTATTGATTGAAATTTAAAGAATAAACTATTAAAATATACAGCAATGTCCATAATGCTTTAAAATATAGTCATACTCTTAATTTATAAATTTCAGGGGATTATTTCTATCAATTTACTGTATTTGGAATAGTTGAATTTCTGTTCAAGTGGAGAATTTGGGAAGAAGATATTAACGCAAATAATTAAAACAGTACTCCTCATATATTGGATATTATGAGTCATGATATTAAAGCTAAGATAATATTTCCACATTAAATATTCTCTGTGGGTAAAAGAACTTCTTATACTGATGCATCCATGGTTTGTTTAAAACCTTACAAGTCTTATAATAGTTAATGTTTTTTTTTTTTTTTTGTGGAACCAGGGATTGAACTCAGGCCCTTGCGCTTGCCAGGGAAGTGCTTATTTCACTGAGCCACCTCCCCGGCCCCATAATATTTAATTTTTAATCACTATTGTGATGAATTACCTGTTCATGTAGACAGTGATGGCGAACCTCTCAATGATAACAGAGAGGTCAGTGCAGTCCTTGTGCCCTAGCTTTGCCATCACTGGTTTAGACTACTTAATTGATGTCATCTCACCTCACAATGATGAGAGAGACTGTGAAGAATGCTTGGGGTGACAGTAAGGCACCCCGGTACATGCACAGTGACACATGCGATAGTTCTGCATAAAGGCAGCAAAGGAGATCCAGGAGCAACTTGGAAAGTGGGCTCCGTAAGGATATTGAGCTCTGTCCTCAACAACGTGGGAGCTGACATGAAAATCTTCCCAGCTAAGGAGCAGACTTATTTTGTTAATCATTACCACTCTCGTGTTCAAGTGTTTGCATCACCGCCAGCGCGAGTAACGTAGCTTGCGCAGGGCACCTCTCTGCCAGCCCTTTTTGCAAGTCACTGGAGCCAATGCAGCCTCCCTGAAGTCTCTTAGGAGACGGGAGCCACTGAGCCAGGGGCGAGGAAGGTGTTCCAGGTTTGCAGCCACGCTCAGAGCTGAGTCACAGCACCTGTGTCTGGATATATGCAACTCGTTCATTGAAAATGAGCTCCGCGTGGGTGTGCACAAGGCTCCCCAGCTGCCTTGGCCCTGCTGTGTCACATGCGTCATGGAGCACTGTCCCCTCTCTTTTGCTATCAACAGCACCATTTTGCTTGAAGCTTTATGAGGAAATTCTACAGTCTCCAAATGGTGCATTGGTGTGGTCCTTCCTAAAACCCATATTACACGGACAAATACTGTATGCACCAGATGTCCCAGCAATCAATGAAGTCATTCAGAAGGTAAGTTGGAGCGAGTGAGACTTGTATGGATCACACACACAATACCAGGAAGACGTCTTCTAGGGCTTAACACAACTATCATAACCCTGGCGTTATGCGAAATTTTCTTAGGTTGATTAAAATTCATTTTTCAGGGTTCTCTTGTAGTTGTGGTGTGTTGAACCCTTTGGTTAGAGGATGGTGGAGTCTGATGTTACTGTCAAATGCAGATGAGGAGATTTCCATTCCATTAATGACAAGATTCCAACCTTCATATCATATTAACAATTTAGAATCTTAATGGTGCTGTGTGATCATAGGCTGTTAGGCTATTTTTGATAGCTTTTGCTTTTATTATTTATTTTTAATGTATTTGGTACAGGGTTTCACTAGGCAGCTCGGACTCATAATGATCCTCCTGTTTTCAGCGTCCCCAGGGCAAGGATTACAGGTGCGCACCACCATGCCTGGACTTTGTCGCAGGCTCAGGGCGCCTGGGGGCGGGGCCAGCATGGCATTTGGTTCCATGGACTGAACCCCGGTCTCTTGGTGCAGTGAATTTACCAGAGCCCTGGATAGGTTTATGTATTTTTTTTCCTGGATAAGTTTATATAAAAGAGCTCTGCATCACTGTTTCATCTAACATTTAAAATTTAAGAGACCAATGTTTCTAGTTTATTATTACTATTATTATTATTTTGAGGCAGGATCTTGCTATGTAGTTAGGCGGGCCAAAGCCTACCACGTAGTTTCAGCTGGTCTTGGCTTCACAGTGACTCGCCCACCTCAGCCCTGTGACTGCTGGGACTACAGCTGTGCTCCAGCCTACCTGGCTGATGTGAACACGGTGGCCCTCACTTATCGCGGAGGTCATGTTCCGGAGACCCCTGTGATAAGTGGGCATCAGTGAAGTAGCGACATTACATTTATATTAGTACTTATATATATTTTAAGGCTTTATAAACCCTTCTCACACTTTTAAAACACTGCTAATGTTCATAGCCATCTTCTAAACCTGAAAACCTGTCTGATTTTAGCAACATTTGTAGACTGTACGGCACTGCAAGATCCCGTGATATAGCGAAAAATCCGTGATAAGTAATTTAGATGAAGAGTTTTTGAAAACCCACGAGACAGTGAGCGCACTGTGTCATGATTAATGACATACCTGAAAAGGGCTCAGACTCTGCCGCTTTTGCAACCCCACAACCGGCACGTCGGTCTCTGCGGAAGAGCTCACCTTGTAGTGTGGAGGAGGAAGCTCCCAGCTGGGGAGACCGCTTAGACGTGAAAGGATGAGAGACAGGCTCTGGGGGCGTGTGGAGCTCCTCACCTCCCCAGGGGCGGCCTGGGCAGAGGAGCGGGGGGGGGGGACGCCCCCTGAACGTGTGGGGTGAGAACAGAGGAGTCTGGAGACGCAGCCAAGACCGTTCTGGTTCTTGCTGGGATCCTCGTGGGATCGCGTGGCCAGGAATAAAGTGGGTGCTGCTGAGTTTGCTTCCTCCTAGCCGGATCAAAGAGCTCGACAGGCACAGCTCCAAGGAGGGGAGCTTTATTTTGGCTCACGGTTCCAGTCCGCAGTTGGCCGGCTCCAAGCCCGGAAGGGCACAGTGGAGACAAAGGTGCTCAGCCTCTGGGAGCCAGGTGCAGAGAGGGAAGGGAGAAGCTGGGGGCAAGAAGCGCCCCTCCAGGCCACTCCCCAGAGGACCCCCTCCCCCCATGGACGAGGCCGGTGAGGAGTACAGCGCCTTATGATCCAGTCTCCACAGATGGGAGACTTTGGGGGTCTTTTGTGTCTAAGCCTTAGCAACTGCTCTTGCCCTCCTCTAACAAGGCCGAAGAGCATGTGCTGTCTTGGTTGTGCATGGGTAGACCTGACTTTATGGCGCTGTACCCAGGGGATTTATTCTAGCAGTCCGCTGTGGCCATTCAGCTTTATGGAAATTGGTTCTGGTGCTTAGACAGAAGGCCTAATGTCCCACAAGCAGGGACACTTGCTGCTGTCCCTTGGCAGGTGTAATACCCTCCGCACTGTTGGAGCAGCTGATGCTATAGATTATAGTCATGTGGCAGGTAGCAACCTTCCAGCCCGTGATGGACCGTGTGGATGGTGGTGGCCTCATAAGGGGATAATGGAGATGAGAGTGTCCTGCTGGCGCATGGCAGTGTGGTGGTCATGAAGTCAGCGTGGTTGTGTTAGTGGGGACGCTGATACGTGGGAGCCCTCGGCACTGCCAGCTATAGAGAAATACAGCGTAGCCAACCATGAGTACTGCATCAACCTGGATAGTGACAGGAAGCGGTTGTGTCACTGGCTTATGTCTTCGGTGTGCTGCATGCTTGTGGTTATTCTAGAGTGGACTCCTTTCCCCTGTGAAGGAAAGACATACTGTAAAGCAGTCTGCTGGACTATACCAGCCGCAGCCTCCTGTGAGTCGTGATTCCCTTACCTGCTGCCTGACCCTCCCTGAGCAGGCGTGCGTGAGTTCACAGGGTGAAGAGGCTGAGGGCATGCTCTGCACAGGCGCCCTGCTCCCCTTCTGGTGCATGACTGTATTTCTACTTGGTCTTAGTCTCTTCCTGACCTCCTGGCAGAGACAGCCATATGAAGCTACTGCTCCTGCCAGGAAAAGAATCTGTGACTATCCATAATGTCCTGGGGTTCCCTGGAGGGCAGCTCCAAGAGGCCTGAGGTCAGGACAGGGAGTGTGTGTCTTCAGGGAGGCTGGTGCCGGCCCTCCTGGTCCTGTCCTGCGTGGCTCAGGCTTCTGGCTTCTGCCGGGAGGACGCTCTCCTCCATCTGGATGCCCACGGTGCACGGCCTTTGCACCCTTGACCTCCAGGACTGGCTAATTCGCCGACGTCACCTGCAGAGCCAGCACCACGCATCATGCAAATGGCAGCCGGGTCACACCACAGGTTGGTGACATTTCCTTCATGGAGGTTGTAGGAGGAAAATATGATGCAGATTTTTTTCTTAATTTTTAAAATATTTTTTTCTGCTTGAGTCTCAAAAGAATTTATTTTTTATTAGTATGCGCTTGCAAACATTGCTTTTCCTGTGCAGAGCTAGCACCTGTCCATGGCAATCTTGAATGTTCTGGCTTCTGTTCCCTCTCCTCCCTCCCTCCTTCTCCCTCCCTTGGCCCCTTCCCATTTACAGAAGATCTAGTACCCTGCTTCCCTTTGCCTGCCTTTTATTTTGCTGTTTAAATTATTTCTACCTCAGGTTTCTCATATAAGAGACTGTGCTTTATTTTGTTTTTGATCTTGAGGGAAGGTGTGACGAGGTCGATAAGTCGCTCAGGCTAGGCTGACCTGAACTCCTGCCTCAGCCTCCCGGAGCCGATGGATTACAGGCATGCACCACCACACCTGTCTTTTATTGACTCCTAAAAGTGCTGAAGCCAGGCACGGGGGCATTTGCCCGTGGTCCCGGCACTCCAGAAGGCTCAGGCAGCAGAACTGCAAGTTTGAGCCCAGCCTGGAAAACTCAGCAACTCGGCGAGACTGTCTCAAAGTATAAGACAAATAAGCAAAGAAACGAATGAATAGCGAGGTTGTAATTCAGTGCAAAGGCTCTGGGTGCAATACCCAGAACCCAGAATAAGAAGTGTTGCTTCCCCACGGTAACGATAAGGACGTGACCAGCTGGGGGCAGGGACAGGGAGGTTGACTCTGGGTCGTTTTCCCTGGGATGCCTGAGACACCAGTCACTGTGCTTTCTGTGTTGTGTTCTTCCTCCTCGCACTGCCTGGCAGTACAGATCCTGTCCACCTGGGAACGGGGTGTGACTTGACAGAATTTTAATTAATTAACAAAACAGTGAACCTGAGAACAAGCAAAAATAGTTTCAAGACCCAAGTTGCCTTGTAAGCAAGGGAAGTCATGCTCAGACTTATTTGTAGTAACCCAAATGCAAAGCCCCCAAAGGAGGTGGCCCCAAGGGGATATTTTTTTTTTTTTTTTTAGATAACTTGATTTTTATTTGTTACTTTTCTCATCAGAAGTGAGAAAGATATGACAATGGTTAGACCTCTGGGACTGAGACTTTTTTTTTTCTTCCCAAGGGGATATTGTATTAAAATGGCGAGGGCGCCAGGCTGCATGGACGGTAGTGTTGATGGGAACAAGGCACTTTCACACATTGCTGGTGGGAAGGTATGCTTGACACACTTGAGGCCAGTATCACAGAGACATGCCACACACGAAAACAAGAGTTTGCTGCCATTATTTAGAAGCTCTAAGGCTGGAAACGATGCTGCCATCATTAGGGAAATATTACATTTTGTGCATCGATAGGATGAAAACCTTACAGATTATTAAAAAGCATAGGTTAGATTGAGACTTTGTTCCAAGACGAATTCCAGGCAAGGTGCAGAAGGAGGTGGCCGATGGAGTGACTACAGCAGCACTCCAGGCGTGCACCTGCTCTGGTGAATGTCTGCCCCACCTCAGGGTTCCCAGGGGGAGCACTGAAGGTAGACACCTGGACCCGGGCTCCTGGGAGACAGAGTAGAAGGGAGAGGATCGCCCCACCTCCTCCTTTGGAAGCTTGGAATCTGTCCAGGGAACAGAACTCATACACAGGATAGAATCCCAGCGAGCCCTGCCTTCTCACCTTCTGTCGTGCTGGGCTTGTGTGTAGGAGTGAGGGTTCAAGGTGTTGGAGGCAAGCATAGGCACCCAGGTGTGCTGGCTGTGTCTCCAGTCCTGTTCTTCCCAGCTATGTCCTCCATCTGGATGGACCAAGGAACAGGCTTCCTGTGAGGCTCTTCTTGCTTCTGGTATGGAGAATGACCTTCCTCTCCTCCTTTCACCCCTCCACCCACCCACCTACCCATCCATGCAGCTCTCTCCTCATGCACACAGCTATCCATCCATCCATCCATCCATCCATCCATCCATCCATCCATTCATCCATGCAGCTGTCTCCTTATGTAACCATCTATCCATCCATCTATCCGTCCGTCCGTCCATCCGTCCATCCATCCATCCATTCATCCATCTGTCCATCTGTC